CCCGCCACACCCACTCTTCTGTCAGCGTGAAACAGTCTTTAATAAAAGTGTAAAAGGTGGGGTATTTCTTAAACCATTTCGCCCTCCCAGCAAAAAGTCAGGGGGGTCCGGGAAGCAGCCCGGCGGGTCATACCCCCCCGAGTGTCCCACGTGCCCAGGCCACCTTCCCCAGGAAGGGTCGAGGCGACTGCGGGGTCTGCGGCCTGAGCCGGGGGCGGGGGCGGGGCTGGAGGGGCTGTGGCGTGTCCGTGTGACTCTCCTGTGTCCCACAGCTCCGCGCTGCCGAGGACACCTACAGGAACCTGTACAAACAGGAAACTTCTTCCCAAAATCCCCAGAGAGCTGAGGGCGGTGAGAACACGGCGCGTGCGGAGCTGGCAGAGGGCACTGAGCCTTGGAGGCCGAAGACAAAAGTCAGGCCCGTCACCTGCTGGGGACGGAGCCTCCGCCTGCCAGGGCCGGGCCCCAGGGTGGCAGCAGGAACATGAGGACGGGGCGAGCGAGCCCTGCCCCTGGCCTCCAAGTGGGGTGGTTCTGGACCCAGGACCCAGGACCCAGGTGTGTGCACAAGACCTTGGACCTCAAACGATTCAGACGCTGAGCTTTCAGGTGCAACATCAGCGGCTGATGGAAGGACACCAGGCCCGTGGGAGCTGGGACACCGAGAACGGACCACATACCAGACACCGGCGGGAAACCCACAGCCGGGCTGCCTGGAGCTGCCCGTCGAGTCCGCCTCACCCTCTGCACTCCCAAGAGGATGCGGAGATTCCCACAGAGCCAGATGCCGCACAAAACACCACATTTGGTTGGCAAATGACCACGTAGCAGCCCTGACGCGGAGACTCACGGTCACCAGACCCGAACCTCTGACTGCTCAGGGCAGGCGCTCGGCCAGGCCAGCTGGCGCCACGGGCCACGTGTATTCTATGTCCAGATCCAGGACAGCATCAGGAAACCCGGGAAGCCACCGTGGCCTGGGGCTGCGTCGGGAGTGCGGCCCTGCCCGCAACGGGTGAGCAAGGGGCACGGCCAGTGGGACACCCCTGCCCGTGGGGACCTGTGAGGGCAGGGGGACCCTGGCCCCCACTCTATCAAACGCTCTGCCCCTTCCTCTGTGCCTGCACCCCTCACAGAAAACCGCCCCCTTCAGGCGTCCCAGGCCCGGGACTCAGAGGCCAGCCACACAGCTCAGATACAAGCGCTGCCCACGGCAGGATGAGCCCACGGTGCGCACCAGGCCACCAGGCCTCACCCTGCGCTGCCGGAAAGGGGCGAAACGGGTTAGGGGCACGGCCCACACCCAAGGCCAGGATTCCGGCAAGGACGCAGTGGCCAGAGTGAGCAGATGCCACCTTCCGAGGACGCGGTGCTGCAGCCACCAGGTCTCGGGGGGAACTGGATCTGGCCGTAGCCGCGGCAGTGCCTGAGCCGCACCCGGGGACCCGACACCTGCAGGGTCAGGGGTCACGGACCAGCGTGGGCGCCAGGCTGAGGACAGGCCTGAAGGCGCAGAGGTGCAATCACTAACCACAGCCTGGGCGTGGCACTCCCTCCAGGCCACGTGTGCCCGAGTGACACGGACAAGGGTTCGAGACCAGCCAGAGTCCAGGCTTCTGCCTTGTGCTCAAGGAAACAACGCAACTGAGAAAACTCAGTCGGTTTCTTGCAAAGTGCCGGTGCTCTGAGCTCCGCGTCAGATTTGCACCTAACTGCAGGGGGCCTCGGATTCTGCCGTGGAAGCTGCCAGCGAGCCTGGCAGCCACGCGGGGGCGGGGGCATCACGAGACTGTTCCCACGCTCCTCACACCAGCCAGGGTCCCCGACCTGGGGCCAGCTGTCCCTGCCCCACCCCACAGACACACAGACCGCAGCCCTGCACACGGAAAGTGCCGGTGACGGGAGGGGCCCCCGTCCGCCCCAGAGCCGGGCTTTCTCCACACCCAGTTCAAGCTGACGCTCCACGTTTAGTCATTAGCCATACAATCTTTTCTCCAAAATAGCGCATGTTAAACATTATATTTCGGCAACTCCGCGACCGTGTGTGTACTTTCAAATAAATCAGGTTCCCTCCTTTTAACAGCGGGAACCACAGGGCTGAACCCTAACAGGACGGCCCGAATGGCCACGCTCCTCGGCTGCCTCTGGACAGACAACGCCAAGTTTTGAAACCAGCCAACAGGAAACCAAAGGGAACACCCTCCTCTGGGTCAGCCCCGCCCTGCGATTCCCCACAGAGTCATCAAGGGGCACGGTCGCAGACCTGGACGCCCCCCACGGGATCCCGGCGGCATGGCCAGGGGACGCCAGGCCAGACTCCCCCCCGATCACCAAGAAGCACCACCCCAGGGGTGTATCTGGTCCTCCCTCTCCCTGTTCTGTCACAGCTTCCAAGTCACGCCCCTCCAGCCCTGCCAAGGTGCCCACCACACCCTTCATGCCCACCCGTCACCAGGGGCAGGGGACTCGGGTTCTGTGACATTACCAGGTCCCAGTCTATGCTGCGGAAGAAAGCGTGAGACTTGATGTCGGAAAATCCAGTCTGTGGCCGGCAGCCGAGCCTCTCTTTGGGGTCCTAGGGGTCCGAGTTCAAATAAGGACATGTCAGCGAGAAGCAAAGAAGCCGGATTCACGGCCAGGCTTGCAGCCCATGCCCAGCAGGGAGCCCGCCTGCTGGTGACCAGCAGAGAGGCCCAGCCCTCCTTCCATTAAAACTCCCCCAGCACCTCCAGCTTCCTCGCCACACGTCTGTTGGGTGTAATTTCTTGTCACTCTGTTTTGCCGTGTGGGTAACAACCGAGGACCCACAGGACGAGCCGGGATAGGAAGCAGGTTCCCACCCGCACCGAGGTGTCCGGAGCCGCCAGAAAACGACCCAGCGCAACGGCTGAGCCCTGGCCCCTAACGGAGCCGGAGCCCAGGGCGCCACAGACACCACCTGCCCTGGGGGCTGCAAGCAAGCAGGTGGCTGCAAACGTACCTTGTTCAAAAATCCCTTCAGGACGTGGGAGGCTTTGACGGAGAGGAACCGGGGGATGCGGATGGGCTTCTCCAGAATCACTGCGAAGGTTGGGGTCACAGTGAGAAACCGGTCCCCTGCCACACCCCCATGTCTGCTGTGCCCAGCAGCGGGGGAGCCGCTCAGGGGCAGGGCCCTGGGACCCCGGGACCCCTTCCTACAGCCCAGCGGGATCGGCAGCCCACAGAGACCCAGCACACGGTCGCGTGTGTTCATCCCAGGTGAACCTCTGGCCACCGGCATCCCCAGGTACACGGAACCTCTGCATGTGGCCGCCAGAGGGCGCCTCGGGGACAACTGAGGGCCTGGCTCCCAGGGCAGGGGCTCCTGGGTGGCAAGAAGCCCTAACGGTGGCGAGATGGGGGCATCGCCCCGGCTGAGCATGCGCCACAGTCCAGGCCTCCAGGGCGCACCTGCCCGGGGCACCCGCCTGTGCTAAATCAGGACGGGTTCTTCCCCGGTGACAGTGTCCCCAGCCCCTGGCGGGTCTGAGAACGGGGCTGGCCTAGCGTGTGGGGGACGATCGGTTCCAGGTGCGGGGCCCAGCCAGGGGACCCTCCCAGCCGCACCGTCGGTCACCTTGGAACAGGTAGTCCTCGGTGTTCATGTCGGGGTTGTCGGTGATGATGTCGAAGGGGGAGCGCCCGGCCATCATCTCAAACATCAAGACACCTAGCGCCCACCAGTCCACGCTGAACCCTGGGGGGAGCAGGGGCCATCAGGCCGGGTCGGCCTCACGCACCGGCTGCTGGACCAGCAGGTCCGGGTGCGGTTTCTGACATGTCCCCAACCTCCCCCGAGGGCCTGGGGACGCCGGTCTTTCGTATCAACTCGCGAAGCTGTCCCACATTGAGGCCGTGAACCCCCCGCCTGGCTCTGCCTGTCGACGTCTAGGGGGTCACCTGGCCTTTCAATTCTGTGTGCAGCACCTTCGGCCACAGACACACGAAACCGAGCTGATGGGTGGGGATGACCGTCCTCTCCTTCCTGCTTTCGGTCACCAGGCTTGAGGACCCCTTTTCCTAAGATACTTTGTTACATTTCCTTCCACAGTAACTGTTGCGGCTTCACCTTCAAATACAGCTGGTCCGTGGGGAACGTCTTTCAGTGAACAGGGGATGGGGGGGCTTCGGCCCGTGGACGGAAGCTGACTCCAAAGTCTCGTCCCTCCCTGTGGCCCAGCGATTGCCGCCTGTCCTCCGGCTACTAAGTGACATCATCGTAGTGGCCCCTGGTGCCCGATTACCTGAGGGTAGGTACTGCCCACCCTGCCCACCCCACCACACGGGCACAGGCCTGCCTCGCACCCGAGGGAGACAGGGGCAGAGGCACTGCCGTGTCCTCGAGGTGGCGGGGGCCTGGCTGCGGGTTACGCCCGGTTTCTGCTGCCTCACCCACGGCACCCGCTGAGCCGCGACCCCGTGTGCCTCTCCCTCCTCTCCAGCCCTTAGGGCTCCTTGATCAGAGACCTTCTGTCCAGTGTCCTCTACTGGGGACCCGCTAGCAAGACGTGGGGGAGCAGAGGCCGAGTGACACGGGGCTGGGAACAGGGCAACGCGTGCGCGTCTCAGGCGTAGTTTGCTCAGCAAGCCCCTCCTCCTGGGCACTGGGCGAGGCCTCCGCCCTCCCTCTCTGCCCTGAGCACGTCCCCGAGCAGCGAAAGCTTCCAGAGTTGGGGTCCCCATCGCCCACATCGTCTGTCCCCTGCGTGTGGCCCCACCTGCCCGCCCGGCCAGGAGCCAGTGCTCACCGTATTCCTCTCCACGCAGGATTTCCGGGGCGATGTAATTCGGGGTTCCGCAGAAAGTGCTCGTGGTGTCCCCGGGGCCCAGGCCTTCCTGTGGGGACAGAGTCGGTCACCAGGAGGGGGGACACCCTCCCAATGCGACCGTGCCGGTGGGACCACAGGCCTCTGAGGAAACCCGCTCGGCATAGGGGGAGGTGCCCGGGCTGGTCACCCTGGAGCCGGGGCACCTGGTGGGTCGGCGTTGCTGCCCAGGACCCAGCAGGCGAGCAGGTCGGGCGCCGTGGGACCCAACCCGGGGAGGCGCTCGCCTTGCACATGCCGTAGTCCGTTAGCTTGATGTGGCCGTCGGCGTCCAGGAGGACGTTGTCCAGCTTCAGGTCCCGGTAGATGATGCCCCTCTCGTGCAAGAAGTTGAGGGCGATGCAGATCTCAGCGGCGTAGAACCTGGGGGCCGGGGGGACAGCCTGTGTCAGCAGAGGACCCAAGGAGCCCGGACGAGAGGCCCGGGCACTGGCACGAGCCGGGGGGCCGCCGCTGACCCCGCTCCTGCATCGCACGGCCCGTGTCCTCTGGCCGACCGTGCACAGGGCCAGCAGGACCAGGAAAGACGCTCAGCACCTCGTTGTCTGGGAAACAAATCAAAACCTCAACAGGACACCACCTCACGGCCACCGGACGGCCGGTGTCAAACACAAAAACAAAGAGTGTTGACAAGGGAGGAACATGGAGAAACTGGAACCTGGGGGGCACCACAGGTGGGAATGTAAAACGGTGCAACCGCGGTGGAAAACTATGGAGACGCCTCGAAAAATTAAAAAATAGAATCACTTCTGGACGTGCCCTCGGAGAACAGGACGCGGGGTCTCCCAGAGGCGTCTGCACACCCACGTGCGCAGCCGCACTACTCACACCCGCCAAGAGGGGGCGCCAGCCCGGTGTCCACAGAGGGGTGGAGGGTGATGGAGACAGACAGACGCGCCCTGTCCACGCCCTGGGACAGCGTCGGCCTCAGGAAGGAAACTCCAGGCCCGGCCGGGCGTGGCTCAGCGGGTGAGCGTCGGCCTAGGATCCAGGCGATCGGGGTTCGATTCCCGCTCAGGGCACATGCCCGGGTTGCGGGCTCCATCCCCAGTCAGGGGCCTGCAGAAGGCAGCCGATCAGTGACTCTCTCATCACGGATGTTTCTCTCTCTCCCTCTCCTTTCCTCTCTCTGAAATCAATAAAGACATATAAAATTAAAAAAAATTTTAAAATAAAAAAATAAAGATATATTTAAAAAGAAAGGAAACTCCAGCACCTGCCCGGACGTGGATGGACCTGGAGGGCGTCATGCTGAGCGAGAGGAGCCAGAGTCAGGACAGACGCCGCGTGTTCCACCCACGGGAGGTCCCTGGAGGAGTCGGTCGGTCGTAGAAACAGAGTAGGTGGTGGTACAGGGCCGGGGGAGGGGGGAGTGTTCAATGGGGACAGCGTGTTAGTTGGGGACGATGGATGGTGGTGACAGCTGGACATCAGTGTGGATGTGCTTCGTGTCCCCGAGCCGTGCCCTTAACTGTGGTTAACGTGGTAGATTTTATGTCGTGTGTATCTCACCACAGTTAAAAGAAAAAGTGAGTGTGTGGGGTGTGTGCTCTTCTCGATTTATAAACTGCTTTTCCCCAAAAAGGCTCTAAGGTGACTCAAAGCTGCATGGAAATTTTTCCAAGTGAGGAAATGAGGGGAGAGAACACCGTGGAAAACAGGAAAGGGGGGGTGTGGACGCAGACGCCGAGGCCGCGCGGGGAGCCGGCCCGGCCCGGGCGGGAGAGGAAGGGGCGAGTGTCCTTCGGAGCCATTTAAAAAAGAGAAACGGGGGGTCACTTTCTCCCAGGGCCCAGCGAACCCCGGCTTTGCATCCGTGTGAAACAGACCAGGAAGCGGGCGGGCGCTCCATCCACTCTGGGGAGTCGAGTCAGAGCCCGTCCCCCCGTTTCGGGAACGGACAAGGCGGAACCAGGGCAGCACCGTCCCACGGAACACCCGCCTCCCGGCCGCCCCCCAGGGGCCCTGGCATCTGCCCACGCGGGGGAGGGCGGGGCTCACACTGCCCCCNAGTGACTCTCTCATCACGGATGTTTCTCTCTCTCCCTCTCCTTTCCTCTCTCTGAAATCAATAAAGACATATAAAATTAAAAAAAATTTTAAAATAAAAAAATAAAGATATATTTAAAAAGAAAGGAAACTCCAGCACCTGCCCGGACGTGGATGGACCTGGAGGGCGTCATGCTGAGCGAGAGGAGCCAGAGTCAGGACAGACGCCGCGTGTTCCACCCACGGGAGGTCCCTGGAGGAGTCGGTCGGTCGTAGAAACAGAGTAGGTGGTGGTACAGGGCCGGGGGAGGGGGGAGTGTTCAATGGGGACAGCGTGTTAGTTGGGGACGATGGATGGTGGTGACAGCTGGACATCAGTGTGGATGTGCTTCGTGTCCCCGAGCCGTGCCCTTAACTGTGGTTAACGTGGTAGATTTTATGTCGTGTGTATCTCACCACAGTTAAAAGAAAAAGTGAGTGTGTGGGGTGTGTGCTCTTCTCGATTTATAAACTGCTTTTCCCCAAAAAGGCTCTAAGGTGACTCAAAGCTGCATGGAAATTTTTCCAAGTGAGGAAATGAGGGGAGAGAACACCGTGGAAAACAGGAAAGGGGGGGTGTGGACGCAGACGCCGAGGCCGCGCGGGGAGCCGGCCCGGCCCGGGCGGGAGAGGAAGGGGCGAGTGTCCTTCGGAGCCATTTAAAAAAGAGAAACGGGGGGTCACTTTCTCCCAGGGCCCAGCGAACCCCGGCTTTGCATCCGTGTGAAACAGACCAGGAAGCGGGCGGGCGCTCCATCCACTCTGGGGAGTCGAGTCAGAGCCCGTCCCCCCGTTTCGGGAACGGACAAGGCGGAACCAGGGCAGCACCGTCCCACGGAACACCCGCCTCCCGGCCGCCCCCCAGGGGCCCTGGCATCTGCCCACGCGGGGGAGGGCGGGGCTCACACTGCCCCC